GACAGCCCGAGGAAAAGACCCGGTGTACCCGTCTGTCGTTATCCGTAAGGAGGTGAGGGAGAACGATACTCTCATTTCTCTGCTCCTGGACGGGGTGTGTCCTTGTGACTTCACACGTCAGGAGGGCGGGGCTTGTCTGCGTGACGTCGCACGAGACCAAGAAAGGTCAAAGGTCAAGGTCAAGGTGACGCCTCTGGATGTTATTGCCACTTTGGGTGACGTGGACCTCCTCGTTCTGTGTATTCAGAGAATGAGTCTTACAGACAACAACTACAACAAACGCTTCTGCCATGGATTTAGCTCACAGACTTCGGAGCCTGTTGACAACGCTACATCTTGCCTAAGTCTGAAAACAGTGAACACTTGTGACTGTTTGTGCCAGGATAATAATAATGATAAAAACTTCAATGAAACTTGTGAAAATTGTGACGGCGAACTTCAGTGGGCAGAATCTTCCATGAGAGACCAATCTTCCGACAGTTCTGTAACATCTCTAGAAGCTCAGAAACTGGAAGAAAACGATGCTCAAAACCAGTTGAGAACGTTGTCTTCACTCGACCTGTCTATAGTCTCAGCAAATGGTCACGATGCAGATCCATCCCTCTCGTGTGCCAAAAAAAGAAAACGATGTAACGATACTGTGTCTCGTCATCTTCTTTCTGACAACAGAGACGGAGAAATAGCAAAAGACTCCAAAGAACAGGAAGGAGACGACGCAAGTATAGATGGATGCTTGGATAGAGACTCGAATGGGTACGCGGTCAATACAGATGGATACTTTGAGGGATGCGCAGCCAGTACAGATGGATACTTGAACGGATGTGCGGTAAATAGACATGGAATCTCAGATGGATACACAGCAAATAGAGACGGGAGCTCAGTCACTCCCATTGGAAAAACTGTTGGCCTCGTTTGTCCTTCAGTTACCACACTCTCAGAGCAGCTGGAACATGATGCGTCCTTAGACAGTGCCCAGGAAGGGTGTGTGTGTTCTGGGAAACTTGGGTCGTTCTCGGGGGGAGGGGAGAGGGATGGGGGCTCCCTCTCTATAAATGACGTCGATATGGAAGAAGAGGAAAGAGAAGGAAGTGGTGGGAAAGAAGGAGGAGATGGAGGGGGGCGAGAAGGAGAAAGAGGCGCCAAAGAAGTAGATGGAAGGGATGAAAATGGAGAACAGTTACGAGAAAGAGGTGAAAAGGAAGGAGAAGAGGAAGAAGGAGAAAGAGGCGCCAAAGGAGTAAATCCAGATGAAAGGGGTGGAAACGTAGAGCAAATTGGAGGAGGAGGTGAAAAAGAAGGAGAAGAGGAAGACGGAGAAAGACGTGATAACGGAGAAAGATTAGGAGAAAGAGATGGAGTAGGAGGAAGGGGAGGAGTAGGAGAAAGCGGAGAAGAAGACGGTGACGGTTATCTTGAAAGAGAGGAGACAACGGTGTTGATAGACAACGCCCTGACTCAGGACCAGATCGACGTGCTGAGGACCCGGGTGAAGGCGGAGAGTCTCGTGTCGTGTGTGCTGCACTCCATAGAGCACCACAATCCACACATGCTCGCCTCTGTGCTGGCCCTGCCCCGCTGTCACGTGATGTCTGTGCTCGCCTTCTGTAGAGACCGCGGGCGCTACGTGAGTACATATTTATTTGTCATTTCTTTTAGTAAGAATTTTACGGCACTTGCAACACAATAAGGTCATATTTAAGTGCCGAAGATTAGAGGTGTTGCAAGAGAGTAACGAACACAAAAAAGAAGGAGGGGAGATAGATGTTTGATAGGAAAGAAGAAGCAAACCACTCCAGAGCACCCGCCAACCACCCTCAAACAAGAGTTATTTGTCATTGCGCTACCTCAGAGTCACCGAAGATCGTGTATAACATGAAAGTTCACTCCTCTCTTTGAGCCAATTTAAAAAAAGTGTCCTCAAAATTCGGTGGCGCCCTCTTCGGAATAGTGCGAACTTTGCGATCAGAGTTACACTACTTGTGTGAAAAGCAATAAAATAAGTAAAACCAACAAACTGTGCTATTCCTATTCTTCTTCTGGAGAAACAAAAGAGAGCTTCAAAACTAAGACTGCAGCGCCATCTGAACCAATGCATGGACTTCTGCGGACACTTTTTTGGCTGAGTGAACTATCTTGTTATGTACGATCTTTGGAGTCTCAATGTTCTATCTGCTCAACACTTCGTTTTGAGAAATTTGATGTCGTAATTCTTTAGCTTCGCAATATGGTTTTTCGGAATGCAATTCTTTTGATATCTTGATAACGACTCCGAATATTCTTATGGTTTTGATTGAGGAGGTGGGACGTTAAAATTTGGTTTCTGATCTCAAAACGCCAAAAATATCTGACTGCACTTTGCAGCTCGAAGGTAGGGATTGGCTTTGTTTTTGTAAGAGTTTTAGGGCACTTACAACACAATTAGGTCATACAAGTGCCAGAGATTAGAGGTGATACTAGAGAGTAACAGACGAAGAAAAGGAGGCCCTTGGTTTGATTTGCTTCGAGCTTCTTTTTGCTGCAATCTTTTCCAATCTAAATCTGGGCTTCTGAGGGGCAGAGGAAAAGGGGAGGGGGGGGAGGGCTTTGTCTGTGGTTTATAGGTGTTTATTATGTATGTCTAAGTTTGTGTGTATTTGAGCGCTTTACGGGGGGGGGTAACCGAGTTACCTGTTCGTGCCTAGAACCAAGGCCAGCAGTTATTACCGCTGGGCAGCCGGACGCTCTGATTGGTCGCAGATCGATATCTGCATTCGTTCAACCGTTCTGTCTGTCAGTTTGTGCAGTTGTCTGTATCTCTGTTTGGTTGTTTGTTTCTGTCAATGTCGTGTCTGTCTACTTTGTGTTATCCCCTCTATATTGTTATAATATTGAACCTTTTTTCATCCTCTTCCACATCGTCACGTCTGTCTCTGTCTGTCTGTCTGTCTGTCTGTCTGTCTGTCTGTCTGTCTGTCTGTCTGTCTGTCTGTCTG